TTTATTTCACTTAATATCTGCGAAAATACCATGCATTATCGGAAAAGTCTACCATATATATTTAATCCATAACTCTGGGAGAAAAGAGAGAGTGATGGTTTCCCAAATGCATTTGTGGTTTAGTCTGGTTTGTTTTGTTTTACAGCATATCACTTTCAATGGGTTATTTAATGCCAGCAATATTTTTACTGCTGGTAATATTTTTTTTCCTTTAAAAATATTTTGATAGTAATATTTTTTTTTCAAAAATGTATAGCTGATAATAATGTATTGCTGGTTATATTTTTCTTCAAAAATTCATTGCTGGTAATAAAGTTTTCCAAAAATGTATTGCTGGTACTAAAACCTATTTTTATTCTTTCATGGTGTTTTGACCCCAGTTTGGGGTTAACTATTTCCCTCATCTGGAACCCTAGCAGGGGCTACCACCCAGGTCAGGGTGAACCTCGGAACACCAGCAATTAAGAGGTGGTTCCACGCTCCTTAAAACCTCCAGATCAGAGGTCTTGCTGCCGGGTATATTTATCGTCTTACCCAGTACGCGGATGTAGTTAAAGGCATTTTTACGAAAGTGAATCTAACAGACTAGAACGGAATTTGAACTCGGCTCGCCGATTCCACTCTCCAGAACGTTATCGGTCGCACAAGTACGCCCTTATGTTAATAGTTTAATCATGCCTAATCCTGAGAACTGATGATGTGACTAGAAACGAGTGGGCACGACGAGGGGGACGGTTTCATGAAACAGTTAATATAAATCTAAATTCCTTTAAATCATTGTGTCTCTTTGTTGGCCCTTGGTTTGCTCAAAGAATCGAGAACGAATTTATCTTATCAAAGCAGAACCGATTTTCAATGTTCGGTTACTTAGGGAGCGGAGTTTGCCTGCAGTCAGACAATCCAACACATGGGTCTACGTAGTTTTAAAGGCTATTAAGATACGATATTCAACAGTCTCTTTATCTAGTATCATAATTAGGTGAAGAGGAGATGTCCAGGGCCACTTGGTGGACCCCGTGGTGATACTGTTCCGTGTTTACTGGAAATACGACGAGTGAGGGAATGTTCGTGGAAGGGACCCTGGTAATCAAGGTCTTGCCTCCCGAGTGTAATGGAAACCAAATCCCAGAGAACAAAGCTATCAGGGGCTTTTTTGCGATAAAAGGAATAAAACACAGAAATAGCGAGTATATCTCGGAAGAAATCTATCAGAAACCGCAGTAGAAGGAAGTTTATGATCCACAAACCCACACACATATATATATATATATATATATATATATATATATATATATATATATATATATATATATATATATATATATATATGAGTGTGTGTATAAATTCACATAAACTTTAACTTTATTCAAAACAGGTGGGCCTTTATGCAAAGCAAAAGTAGCGTATTTCATGACATATGTAACATTACATTTTCTACACACACAAAAGAAAAATATGACACGAGAGGTTAATCTAAGGCCGGTGCAACGGTTTCATACCCACCTCGAATCTATGATACGGCTACATCTGTCTATATTTCTGAGATCAGGGGCACCTCGTCGTGGTGTAATGGTTAGAAAGCTTGTCTTACTAGATCAATTACGATTGAGTAGTGAGTTCGGTCCTCGCTGGGTGCTCCATACTTTCGGCCTTGTGCCACATCTAAGGCGGCCTTAGAAAATCACAATATTTCTGAGATGAGGTATTATGTACAGTATTTACAATATTCGGACTATTGTCCTCATCTTTGTCGCCATATTCATCACAACGTTTCGGCCGTTATACGCTCCGGCTTTCTTCAGGTGGTTGGAATGTCGAACTGAAACCTTTATTTCGCTCGCTGGGGTAGACTGTTCTAGTTCCACGTGCCATGTTTAATGGGATGTCAGTTATCAGTTCTCCACTGCCTTAACCGGGTATTGAAATCACACTCCGAGTCCTGTCACTGGATCTAACCAACGCCTTTATTGTCCGAATAATGTAAATAGGCTACATCGCAATTTTTCCTAATTTATTCATATAAAATACAAATTACATTGTAACGTAATTATGTACAGTAATGGATCATATACAATATAGGTGAACAATTCAAAAAGAAAAATTGAAAACACATTCAATGTATCTAAATTTGAGACGTCATAAATCATACCATCTTAAATAAATCAACGATTTGCGGCTATTTTTAACAACTTGAGATTTTTCTCGTTAAAATGTTGAAGAATTTTACCACATTCAACATTATGATAGTGAATTTTGTCACTTCTTAGTTTAATTTTTAATATATATAATGTAGCTAGAAAAAAAGTAAATGTTTATGAGATAACAAAGACCAAAAAACAATTTGTGGCGCCCCCACCTAAATCTGGCTTGCATCCTCTTTACGATCATTAGTTTATCCCAAATCCAAATTTCTTTGGTTATTAATTTGTTATTTTACGGCTTATAAATCATTTGCAGGTTATTTAAAGCCAGAAAATATTTGTAGATTGTAAGAAGTTTTTTTAGTGATAATGATTTACTGATACACGTCCAACTAATTAATCCATAGCTGGGGGTCAAGTCGGATTCATATCTTTCCTAACTATTTGCGTATAAGGGAATATAAAGACCCAAATTTTCAATTCAGAATCGTTATCCATTACACCGCCCGCACATCCAAGCTGACAGCACCAGATATTCAAAAACGGTTTCCCATCTAGGTACTGATCAAGCTCAGCGTTACTTAACTTTGGTTATCGTGCAGTGTTTCAACGTGATATGGCCGTTAGCCCCCAAATCAAGAGCTAGTTTTCAAATTAAAACATCGGCAAAAGATAATTGGGAAGTTCCATAGGTCCTCTGAAGAAAAGACTGTCTAGGAAAATATTGTTTATAACATTTTCAAAATATTCACATGTGGAAAAGGTGTTCTTCATGTCGAGGAAAGTCCGAGGATGAAGTGTCCTTCAGGGAGAGGAACGCACCTATTTATGGAGTCCATATACCTTATCAATATCTCATCATGCCAAAATTTACTGAAATTACTTTGAACATTTTGTGGAGATTTCGGACGGACCACGTGGCCACCATGTTCACTGAAACGACCACAAGAGAGCATTTATAGGAACTGTTGGAGATATGTATTCACACTTGAGATCACTGCAAGTCCAAATGACCAAGTGTCTGTAGACAACTATCGAATGAACAGGGCTCCACAAGTCAGCAGAGATCGTCCTATCAATTGTGTAACTGATGCCACATTGCGTTACTGCACTTCGACAGGCTAAACGGGGTCTTATAATAATATTAAGCACCTACACCCTTTTGCAAATTAATTGAAGCAACCGCTTTAGTTTCCTTTCTTTCGCCATACAGTCAGTTTTAGACCCACTAGAGTGACAGTGTGTAATCGATTTCTGTTTTTGCCTCAGATTAGGTCATTTGCAGTGGTGTGCAGTAATATAAATCTATTTTCGGGATATATGATGAGATTTGTTTGGCCTTGAAAAATATTGCGTAATCCGTGACTGCATCAGATTTTATCTAGCCCAGGCACTATTTTCTCGACTGTCGATTATTTGTTTTACGGCCATTATCTGCGATGGACATTACTCCAACGAAGCGTACGAAAATTGTATTGCTGCACAATCAAACTGGCAAGCCTTAACAGTGAGCAAATCAAAATACTATCAACTGGCTCGGAAAATCCCGATTTAAATCCAATCGAGAATCCATGGTCAATCTGGAATAGACATACGAAGTACTAATATACGCACTGGGTCATATTTCATTGGAAAAATGCGTAAAAATGTAAATAACGAGTTTGGTTTGTTTTACAGCATATCAACTTCAATGGGTTATTTAATGCGGACAAGAATTTTTTCAAAAATATATTGTTGGTCATATTTTTTTTTTCAAAATTGTATTGCTGATAATATTGCTTTTTTTCAAAATTTTATTGCTGATAATATCTTTTTTCAAAAATGTATTGCCGATAATATTGCTTTTTTTCAAAAATGTATTGCCGATAATATTGCTTTTTTTCAAAAATGTATTGCCGATAATATTGCTTTTTTTCAAAAATGTATTGCCGATAATATTGCTTTTTTTCAAAAATGTATTGCCGATAATATTGCTTTTTTTCAAAAATGTATTGCCGATAATATTGCTTTTTTTCAAAAATGTATTGCCGATAATATTGCTTTTTTTCAAAAATGTATTGCCGATAATATTGCTTTTTTTCAAAAATGTATTGCCGATAATATTGCTTTTTTTCAAAAATGTATTGCCGATAATATTGCTTTTTTTCAAAAATGTATTGCCGATAATATTGCTTTTTTTCAAAAATATATTGCTGATAATATCTTTTCTCAAAAATGTATTGCTGGCAAAAAATTTTCCTCAAAATTCATTGCTGGTAATAATTTTTTACAAAAAATGTATTGCTGGCATTAAAACCTACTTTTACACTTTCATCGAGTTTTGACCCCTGTTTAGGGGTTAACTACTGGCCCAGAGCTAGGACCCTAACAGGTGCTACCACCCCAGTTTCAGGGTGAACCTTGGAACATCAGCAATTAAGTGGTAGTTCCCACTCTTCTCAAATTCTCCTGATCAGAGGCCTTGCTGTCGGATGTAGGTTATCTTCTTACCCAGGACGCTAAATAATAACGAAATTATTCGTTTTGTTTCAATTAATTTGAACAGGGGTGTATATCTTTTGGCACGCCAGTGTATACAAAATTAATAGAAAGAGAAACAGATTAACCACAAATTGGCAACACTTCATACTGTTGTTATAACTATGCTTCGTTTAATTCAGTCACAAATTCCTAACAGGCCCAGAAAAGCTGTCATTTCTCCTGGGGTGTAGTGGGAAAAGGGCCAGAGAGAAGGTACGAAGATGGGGAGATTGCATGCATATGGTTTAGATAGTCCGCCAAAAGGAGAGAACATGATAGTAAAGTAATGGGTTTAATGATAGGGTATATTACAATGAGTAGAAGATATGACTATAGACGATGGGTGGTGGTCTGGTCTGTGATGGGACAGAGGGATGCTACGGAGCAGCAAGGCAGCATGTTGAGACGGGAGGAGGTCGGATTATAAAACCGAAGCCGGTGTAAACAAAGAAAAACCGTTTCAATTAATGCATTAATGTTACATGCACGCAGAATTTTCCAGCGAGTTTTTCTTTTTCAAAAACTAAAGACTGGTCTTTCTCTTATAAACTTTGTACATGCTTAATGAATATGAAAAAATAAGATCTAAATAAATGGATTGTTAATGAAATATATGTCTATCTCTCTGAAATGAGGTATTATGATTACTTGCATTATGTACATTATTCGGACTGTCATCCTCATCTTCATTGCCATATTCACAACGTTTCGCCCGTTTGATAAAGACGCTGGTTAGATCCAGTGAATAGACCCAAATATTTGTCTATATCACTGAGATGAGGTATTATGATTAATTGCATTATTTACATTGTTCAGACTGTCATCCTCATCTTCATTGCCATATTCACAACGTTTCGGACTATATCCGCGAGATGAGTTATTATGATTAATATTCTCCTAATCCTCAATTTTCACTTATTTCTAACTTTTTACATTTATATCACACATCTAAGACATTAACCTCTACAATAATGGCTCTTGAGCATTGTATTTGGTGAACATTAGCAAAAAAATAGTTTAAAAAAAAAAAACAGAATATTTGTCTATGTCTCTCAGATGAGGTATTATGGTTACTTGCATTATTTACATTATTTGAACTGTCATCATCATCTTCATTGCCATATTCACAACGTTTCGGCCGTTGGATAAAGACGTTGGTTAAATCCAGTGAATAGATCCAAACATCTATCTCTGAGATGAGGTATTATGATTACTATGTGTCACACGATCCGTTCTTTGTTTGAACAATTCCCAGATATTTAAATTTCTGTATGTTTGATTTTAGTATCCCCAACTTGTAATCTGCATTTAGGCCTCATCCTTTCGCTGATAATCATCTCACTCTTTCCAGAATGCTAAGAAAATTTGAAACCTCAATGAACTCATTTATTCGGTCCGTCACCAAACGCCATCAGTTCTTACACCTAACTGAAATTAATTATGGAGTCTAACCAGGAGATCCTAGTCCAGAATATTCCGGATACCACATCAGATATATAAGGCGAGGTCAAACCATGGATCGCAAGCCACATGTGCTCCTGTGACATTTAATATTCAGCTCGTGGAAATATGTTGACTGGGCTCCTTTTTTCGTCACATTTAATATAAAAAGGTAAATAAGAAAAATTTCAAGATTTATAATTATATACTGGGTATGAATTGAGATCCCATTGGATTGAAAGGTAAGTTAATGTGTACATTTTGTTGTTTTGCGGCTCTCAAACACCTGAACTTTATCGTAAGTGACCCTTACATTGGTCACCCCTGATATCTGACACGTATTTAACAAAATATCAAAAATTGCTTTTTTCACTGCAAATTATTCATTACATCATATCCAAGTATTTCGCAAAAAAAAAAAAAAAATTAAAGCCAATTACACAATATTTCAAGCTCAATATAGTTTTATAGTTCGTAACCAGGCAATGAGAAGTAACATAAACCGTAGATTTGTCTGCGGAATATCATTACATTATTGTTACATAATTATAATGAAATCCTTAAGGTTTTTTGGCAAAAGCATTTTATTTTTGGTCGTATATTAATTTAGAATGTTCTTTTATTCTTCCAGTTTATTGAACCATAAAACAGCATGCATTACTGTCTAAAGTTCAAACAGTACACTACTATGAGTGTTACTACGTCACAAGATGGCCGAATTTATTCAGAATATTTACTCACCTCGACAGCCAGGTAAACATTGGCATCGCCAATCAAAGTGTTGCAATTTAAATTTTCCATCAGTGTTTACGAGTCGTTCAGCGAAGGAAGGGGACGTATTCAACAAAAAATCGAAAATTGCTTTTATCACTGCAAATTATTCATTATGTCATATTCAAGTATTTTACAAAAAATTAGAGTCGATTATACAATATTTCAAGCTCAATTTAGGTTTATACTTCGTAACCATGCAATGAGATGAGCCAACATAAACCGTAGATTTGTTTGCAGAATATCATTACATTATAATAATAATAATAATAATAACAATGAAATCATTAAGGTTTATTATTATTATTATATATTATTATCATATTATTTTTGGTTGTAAATACTTCATGTACAGGGTGTACACAAATTCATGAGACAAATAGACGATGTATTAAAATTACAACGGAAAATGGATACTATTAAAATCCTCACATAAAATAAACAAATGAAGTATATATGACGCATTCTGAGGCGGAGGGGCGTACTCAACAAAATATAGAAAATTGCTTTTTTCACTGCAAATTATTCATTATATCATATCCAAGTATTAGAAAAATTAGAGCAGATTACACAATATTTCAATTTAGGTTTACAGTTCGTAACCATGCGATGAGGTAACATAAACTGTAAATTTGTCTGCAGAGTATCATTATATTATTGTTACATAATTATAGTGAAATCATTAAGGATTTTTATCAAAAGCATTTTATTTTCGGTCGTATATTAAAATATTTTCCTAAGAAAATAGGAATTCTCAGTATAAGGATCGTAATCATTAAAAAAATGTTACACAATAAAGAATTCTCCAAAACAAAGGTATGATTCGGAGGAAGAGCATATATTTTAAAGACTGTGAGGTCAATAAAATATTAATGAAGGTTCTGGTGATCTAAATAGATTTCGTCTCACTCGATACTCAGTGGCAACTGTTAGAAATTGAACGCGAATTTACAAATGCCTGAAAACAACTAAGGTACCATAATCTTAACTGCAAACATCAAGAAATGTCTCGACTGTTAAATGTCAACCATTGACAGATTCCCAGTACCAAAATCTTGTTCACTGATTTTTTTTGAAGACGTGAGTTCTCGCACCACACAATAACCACTAACATTATTGAACGGATATTCACTTAAACATTGACAGATGTCTGCGGTAAAGAAATATTTATCTTTTTTAAATAAAAAATCTGTCAGTATGAAATAAACAAACTAGTGCCGTGAGGCTGGACCACATGTAGATATACATACTGTCGGAGTTAGCTCCTCCTTAATTCCCTAATTGTCACTAGGGGTCATTCTCCCTATACTATAAATACTGGGCGACTTCTTGCATCGTTCTCTTTCCTTCAGGCCTCGTGCCGCATCCTACCTTGCGTGGAGGTGAGAGAAATTCACTTTTAATTCCTTCATTTCAGCGACTACAATGTAAGCTCTCTTAGAAGATTCGCGTCTTCCCATTTGTGGGAGACGCCATGAAAATTATACACACATATACACGTACGTACGAACTTTCACCAAAGAACAAACACCAATGTTACACACACAAATGTTATTGTCCATTGTAAAATTGTTTTGTTTAATACATATATTTGTTTATATATATATATATATATATATATATCGGTCTTGTTTTTCTTTTTTATCTTCAATTGCACTTAATTCAAGTCCGCCATTTTCTTGTATCTAGACTTTATCTAGCAGGAAATATAAACGCACGTGTTTTCTTTTCATCTTCAACCACCGGTCCTCCACAATAACCCCATCATTAAAAAAAAAAAAAAAAAAATTAAAAATGGATCTTGTGCTAAATTTTTCGTCAGTATCCTTGCAGGTCAACAAACACTTCGCCACTCTCATCTCACAACAAACGTCGATAATACAGTGATGCTGGTAGGATTTGATTGTAGTAAGTCTTACCTGTGGGCCCCTTGGACTCATTACATTAAAAAATTTGAGTGTCTACCTGGGAAGTTCAATGGGTCCCAACTAAAGTTTCTGAATAATTTTTTGTGTTAAACTGCAGGGCTACAAATTTAGTTTTTTTTTTACCATCGCCCCAAAAAACAATTTTAAAATTGACAGAACAACTTTTTAATATATTTAAGACAAAAACAACATTTACACTTAATCACAGTTCATTTAAGAAATTATATTTTTTCAGTATGAGGAAGGGACAAAGTTATTAAATTGACAGAAAAAATTGTTTTTTTTGGGTTTTTTCAATAAAAAAAAAAAAGAAAACTTTATTTAAAGCAATGGTCGGTAATCTTCAATGAGCTCAGGCACGTCAAATAATAATAATAAAAAAAAACTAGAAATTTCTGGTAACACGACATTGATGTCTATTTCATGCTACCCACAAACGAAAGGAGGAAACAATAAGTGAAAGAAAGGAAGGAAGAACTAATAAAAACTATTTGTAAGAATATATGCAATGTATTGCTTTTCATAGGAAACTTTAGTTGCGTTCATAGGACGCACAGATGAGAAATTTATTGCGTCATTTCAGATTTTTATACATCAGGGACTCGGGACGCACACATTCCAGCATCTCAGTAAGTACTATAAGAGAACGTACTAAAGATTATGGACACATTCTGTGGAAAGCGAGTGAGGTTTAGCGGCCATTGCTGGAAAATTCAACAAGAAACTGAGCACCAGCTTAAACTATGTCATTCAAATTATGACGATAAGTTCAAGATCTAAACCAGTAAGAAAGATCGGAAAGGAAGAATTGGATAGATTTATGGATGACAGAAATGGTTGGAATAAAGTGGACAGGAGTATTTGTTCGAGGAGGATCAGATAGACAGATTAGCACGTTTATAAAGCACATAGTTCCCCAAATACTCCTGTAGACTAACAGCCATTGTGACTAATCCCATAGCTAAGCTATCTTTAACAGCGTAGAGCACATTGTGTTATATGAGATTCTTTTTGTTTATTTAAATATGTCTTATATGCCGGTGATATATAGTCACGTTCTTGTATGCCGGTAATATATAGTCAAGTCTTTGGTGTTCATCAGAGAGGTTAAAAAGGTATAAATTAGTAGTACTATCTAAAGTGACGGATTTATTAATACGAAAAGGGGCGCTGAAAATTTTTCGACTAGGCTCATTTCTAAAAATCTAGTAAATCACTAAAAGATCAGAATTTGGTGCATCGGGCAGAGAAAATCTCCTCCTTAATCGGTCTGAAAATGTTTGTTTCAGAAGTGATATTTGTGCATAGAACCGAGAGAGTGAGAGTCTAATAGGTCTAAAATTATCAGTTAAATTCCCCAATTTCCGATCTCACTAACGTATTAACAGCTTTCCAAAATGGCTTGTTAACCATAGCTCAACGGCGAGGTAAAAGAATGTTTTGTTATGATTCAGTTTTAAAAGACACATACTTGTATTATTTCGAACTGATGTTCCCATCTTGGTTAATATAGATATTATTATAGTCACAACTTTTCGACCAAGATATCATGGACAGGGCGTGTGAGCAACGATGAGATCTTAGTGAGGTTGCAAACAAGGAGGAGGCTTATACTTAATAAAGGAAGAGGCAGCTGAAGTTTCTGGGACATAATGAAGAAGGAGGGCCTGGAGAATCTGATACTCACAGGTCTAACAGCTGGAAAGAGAGACAAGGAAAAACAACGCGTAGCATACCTGGCGAACTTAAGCAAGTGGATGACAGAACGTGGTCTGGGGGAGGAAGCAGAGGGAAGGAGCTTGTTGAGAGCTGTCAGGGATAGAGAGAAGTGGGGAGGCATGATCGCCTACGTCCTGAAAGGACATGACACACAAAAAGAAAGAAAGACACTCCGGTCGCCATCAGATGTCCACTGATTAGATGATATGAGATATCTTTGGCTTATCGTGACATTTTGTCCCTGTGATATCAGTTATGGTTCGTTACTGCTGAATTGGAGTTTCACTACCTGATCCAGTGATTGAACTCACAACCGTTAGATGATACTAACATGTATAAATTACTACGCCACCACCCCGAAGGACATTAGTGGTGTGTTTTTGGTGCCTTTTATATTCAATGCCAAAAGACGTTTTTGGCATTAGGTTATAATGGTGGGTTCGTACGACTTTTCTTAATTTAGAACACGATCGTAACTAGTTATCGAAAAATTTTGTACGAATGTTTTAGAAGAGGAATTATTATTATTATTATTATTATTTCCTTTGATTTCTGGCATATACATATTTCTTTCCGGCTCCCGCCCAGAGACCTTAGGTTAGAAATGGCATCATGACACTTTCCACCGACAAAAAAAAAAAAAAAAATTTACATAGATAAAGCCCTTCGTAAAGTGTGGGCTGGACAATTTTGTATTTCTTTGAGGCATGGACTTCCTGGAATCCCTTCAATTATTCTACTGGAATCTTTTCTAACCAATCCGAGAGCTCTAACTACAACAGGGATTGTTTATGTTCCCATGTGCCACATTTCTGAGATTTCGATTTCATGATCCTTGTATATTGACATGAATATCTTCAAAGATACATTGCAGTCTGCATGGACTGCCATATCAATAAGGAGGCACTTTTTCTGTTTGTGGCTTTAATAACAATGTCTGGGCGGTTGGCTTTGATTGTTCTGTCAGTGTGTATTGTGCAGTCCCATAGAATTGTAACAGGTCCTATCTCCGTAACCGGGTCTGGGTGGTGTTCATATCAGTTTCCTTCCCGTAGAAATTTCAAATTTTCCAGTGCAGATATTGGCCCACTCTGTCAATACCAGGTTTTATACTTAGTGGGGGGGACAATATCGTGCAGCCTGAGCGTTCTGTTCAGGCCGTCCAAGTTGTACCCTCCGACTTTTTTCAACTACCTATCGTACTGGTAATTGGAACTGAAACCTTTATTCAATCGACGGGCTTAGATTATTATGGATAGAAGTAACTGAGATGAGATGATCTCGAAGCATGGAAAGCGAAGTAAGATTACGGCAGACACACAAAGAAGGTCAGAGAATTCAAGGGTCGAAATATTCTGAGTATGACAATCAAGATGAACAACCTCGACCGAAGGTAAATCCTATCAACCCTTCTTAGTCAGTGACTTTTTAACTTCTTCGCACCTATTTTATTTTGTCTAGACTAACCACATGTACTAATATACTGAAATAGATATGCACTGATTTAGACGTATGAAAAAGGAATATGTACTGGTTTTGATAGATATGAACAGACTTATATATATATATATATATATATATATATGATAATGAGAAAGAATATTAGGATTTATAATCCGGTGTTTATTTTTAATTATTTCTATTTTTAAAAAAGCGTGCTCAGTACAATTCTGTACAGCATAAATATTATAATTTAATAATTTTGATACACAGGTGGTCTGTGAAAATGAATACCCTACCACACCTTACCAAAATGATTGAATTTCCCGTAACCTTAACAACTAATATCAAGAACGTAAGTTATTCCAAAAATCGCTTAAAAATGAAACCGTATTAGAGATTTTAATCTAATTCTATAATTAAATTTAAGGTTTTACTTTGTTTTTGAAACATGGTAATTATTGTGTAGCGATGGGACCATATTTTTAAATTAGTAGACTATATATATACTGTTCATGTTTGTCTATCGAAGTCAGTGTCTATCGAAAGGCGCAGACTATCTGTCCGTCTGCCTATCGAAAGGCGCAGACTATCTGTCCGTCTGCCTATCGAAAGGCGCAGACTATCTGTCCGTCTGCCTATCGAAAGGCGCAGACTATCTCGAAAGGCCGTCTGCCTGCCTATCGAAAGGCGCAGACTATCTGTCCGTCTGCCTATCGAAAGGCGCAGACTATCTGTCCGTCTGCCTATCGAAAGGCGCAGACTATCTGTCCGTCTGCCTATCGAAAGGCGCAGACTATCTGTCCGTCTGCCTATCGAAAGGCGCAGACTATCTGTCCGTCTGCCTATCGAAAGGCGCTATTTGTTTGCCTCTGTCTGCCTGGTTGGATGTCTATCGAAAACAGACTATATACCTATCTGTCTATCGATGAGTGACTAAGTTTTCTGTTAGGGCTTGCTTGCTTCTTTTAATCAATTTTCGCCTACATAAGTTGAATATAATTCCATCCCAGACAACGTCGCTTATAGTTGCTAGTGTATATTTATATATGCACTATTAATACACAAAATATACATAGGTATAAATTATATTGAATATGCTTCTCCGCCTGCAAATTACTTGCTCTCTTTGTCACCACCATCACCCTCCATAAAAAAAAAAAACGAAACGAAACTTTGAGACAGAGACAGCCTTTTCGTTTCACTCAACATCTATTTGTTCATTATTAATATTATTATTATTAAATATTCCTCTTACCGATCTCCGTTCATATATCTTTTCTGCACTGTCATTCTCCTACTGATCGGTGAGGGCGATGGGGTGGAAGTCCTGGCGATGTAGATGGCGGAGGGTTTGTAAGCACGATGAGAGGTGCCAATGAATGAATGGGTATGGGTAGGGGTAGGATATCCTTGTGGGTCGGTGATAGTGTGGAGAGGAAGAAGGGAGTTTGCGAGAGAGTCCAACATATGGCCGAGCAATTAAGTTTATTCCCACTCTCTCTTTATCCCCTGACCCCCCTGGCAGCGTGTTTAGGGGCTAGCCAAGAGTGTTGGGCCAGACAGGCGCTATGTTTACTGATCCTTTATATCACATCTTGATAACACCCCTGTGTACGTTGACTATCAGTTTACAGGAACTTATACACCCCGAATCAGTCCTCCTGACAATTCTTTATTTCTTTCTGTCTTCTTTCTTAACTGCCTCGAGGAAACAAGAAGACAAAAATGGTTTATGGGGAACAGGGTAGGAAATGAAAGAATCTTTTATTTTTCGTCCTGAGAGAATATCAGATGGTGAAAGAATTGCAATCTTTTCATATTTCATTCGGTTTTTCATTTTTATTCTTTGTCAATAAACCTTTTTTTTTTTCATTCAATTGCAAACGATTTTGAAATTCTCTGAAATGAAAGAGTTTTAAAATCTTGCATAATTTTTCCTTTTGGCAAAGACGGCAGACATTTTGGGTCGATTAATTTTTAGTGATCGACTTTTTTTTTTTTTTTCAAATTACGAATAATCCTTCTCTGAGGAGAAAAAAAAATTGTCAGAAATTGTTCGAAGTTTATTTTGGAAGAAATATAATCGAAGCTTCTGATTTTCTTCTTGTCATCACCAGGGTAGGTGAGTGTTTTAAATATATATATATATATATATGAAAATTTCTCCGATTTAATCGGTAGAGAAGACGTATTTTTGCTTTGATAAAGTCCACATTGGACGAAACGCGTCAGCAATTACCAGTTTTCCTATTGTCATTTTTATTCATATATATATATATATATATATATATATATATATATATATTTTATTTGAGTAAGCGGACTCTTAAATTCTAATTGCTTTTTAAGTTTTTATTTATAGAATCTTGTTTTTGTCGCATTGAATCTTGATTCAAGGATCAAGGGACGTACCTCTAATATCCAGATATGATCTTCGGTGATCACACGAAAACTGGTGTTTCAACGTGATATAGCCATAAACAATTTTTGATTTGAGAATGCTAAAATATTTTCTCAATCGGGATTTCGGCTTAACGAAATGTTACATGGGCGCGTTCATCTTTCATATCACAGGGGTAGCATGGACGATGTTTTATCTGAAAGGTCTCGGACTGTGCGTAATGTGATTTCACCGTTGTTTATCTCGCCTTCCAAACCTTCTAAATTGGCTTCGTGAAATCTAATTGTAATCAATTATGATTCTACGATAGTTTGTAACAGTTATTTCTGAATATTTTGTCCAACATGACTGAGACCAAACAAATTTTTTTATTGAGCGTCACGCGTGTTTTAACGCCGGCAGGACGTAGTTTCAAGATGTCGACCGTTCAGACCGATCGATCACCAGCTAAACACCAGACAACGTGAGAAAACAAAATCATGAACTCATTTATTCGGTTCGTCACCAAACACGCCATCAGTTCTTACACCTAAATGGAATTAATTATGGGGTCCACTAGGAGATTCTAATCCAGGAAATTCCTGATACCACATTAGATATATCACGCGTGGCCAAATTGCGGCTTGGAAGCCACATGCGGCTCTTTGATATTTAATATGCGGTTCGTGGAAATATGTTGGCTGAGGTCCTTTTTTTAGTCACAGTTAATATAAAATGTAAATAAGAAAATTTCAAGCTTTATAATTATGTACTGGGTATGAATTGAGATCCCATTGGATTGACACCTAAGTTAATGTGTAAGAAAAAAGTATGTGTAAATTTTGTTGTTTTGCGTCTCTCAAACATCTGAATTTTAGCCTATGTGGCTCTTACATTAAGCAACTTTGGTCAACCCTGATATATGACCAGTTCGACAGAGGATGGGGCGTATTTAACAAAAAAATATCAAAAATTTCTTTTTTCACTGCAAATTATTAATTATATCATATCCAAGTATTTTACAAAAAATTAGAGCCGATTACACAATATTTCAAGCTCAATCTAGGTTTAGAGTTCGTATAACCATGCAATGAGATGAGCCAACATAAACCGTACATTTGTCTGAGGAATATAATTACCTTATTGTTACATAATTATCGTGAAATCATTAATTTTTTTTATTGAAAATCATTTTACTTTTGGTTGTATATTAATTCAAAATATTCCTTTTTACAGATTTTATCTTTGAAATGGAATAAGATCCTTCTAAATTTCAGAATATCGCTATTACCCATCAAAATAACTGGAAGAAAGCGATCTAAAAACAACAATGGAAAAGAGAGGTAACAAAGCGTAAACGAAATAGCTCCAATTTGTCAAAACTTAGGAACCATAGCATTGGAATCAGTGTATGCTGCCAATAACAAAGGAGAAAAATGAAAAAAATACCTAGAAACAAATCGAATATAGCATCAAAATCTATATTATTTTTATTTATTTGTTATGTAACTAAATCCATAATTGTCAACAATGTTTCCGTAAAACTTAATATTTCCTGCAATAAATCATATATATATATATATATATATATATATATATATATATATATATATATATATATGTATGTGTGTGTGCTTATTATAAAACCCAGGTTGTGTGTGTGTGTCTGTTCGTTTATATATTGGATCGGATTTCCTACATTTTTCAACCGATTTCAACAAAACTTCACAGGACTACGTAAAATTACCTTGCGGTGGTTCTGACAGTGCCAAAAATTGGAAAAAACAATTGTTTTTGCACGAAATCAATTTGAAAACACGATTAAATGGCATCGCTGCCGCGAGAATGAAAGGTAGACAACTCATATCGAGTTATACTTATTATAAAACCCAGGTTGTTTTTGTGTGTTCGTTTATATATGGGATCGGATTTCCTACCTTTTTCAACCGATTTAAACAAAACTTCACTTTTTTTGGCAGGTAGTGTTTCTTATTGTCTTGCACGCTTTTTTCTTTATTTTTACATTCAGAATGTTTTAAAAATTCCATTTACAAGACAATTGTTTATAATAAAATTCTATTCAATCGGTAGACTCACAACGATTGTAAACAATGTTTTTGTTTGAGTTTGACCAATTCGTAAAAAAAACAAAAAAGACAAACAAAAAACGAAAAAAACTAATTAAGACATGCGTGTCTGTCAACCTTAAACAATAATCTTTGTCAATTTTATTTTTCAGTCTTTATGATGGTCGATACTTGATCTATCTCTTACTGTTGCAACGCCGGGCTCTACTGCTAGTTCTTAATAAATATTACTATTGTTATTATTTGGCTTAAGTGTAAGGTAGTTCTACATTAACAATTTCTTACGGCTAAACATGAAAAGAAATGTTGATTAAAACTGCTTAAAACCTTTAAGCCGGAATTGGCGCAAAATTATCAAATACTGAATACACCTCTCCGCCACTGAACGTGTCATATATCCTCTGCTATCTTTGAATTCAGCTGTTCGTTCTTTGTGACAGGTTATTTTTTTTACTTATGAGTTAAGGCTTGTTGAACAGGAATAAAGCCAATAAAGTAAATTCAGAATAGGTCGGAATAAAAGAGTGGTTGGAAAATTTATTCATTTTTTTTTTTCGGAGGCAAAGGAGAGAGACGAGTTTGGAATGAACAAAATGGAAATTCAAACGGGTGTTTGAAATTAAAATGGTAAGATTGTAAAAAAAAAAAAAAAAAAAATAATTCAAAATTTAAATATTCCAGCTTTTCCGGATATGAGAGCAGTAAAAAATTATTGGTTTGTTCCGTATTAAGAGAGATACTCCAAATACTTACTCTTCTTAATAATAAATACTTACTCTTCTTAATAATGAAAAAAAAATGACGACCAATTTAGTAAAATATCATCAGAGCTTTTTAAAATTGAAGGCCCACTGCAAATAGATGTAACTTTTCGCTTCCGAGCATGCCATTGGCTCAGGTGTATTTGTTTTCTCTTCAACGCCCAAAGTTTGCTTAATACTCCAATTACGCCGAGCGAACCTTAGTTAGAGTTCAAGTACGTGCCCCACATACGGTTTTCATTTCAGATTTATCCTTCTGGTCTGTTTACCAACCACAGCTAAAGAATCCAGAGGTAAATTGCAGTGTAATCCCCGCGCTCAGTTTCTAATAAAAATTTCCTGAGTAGTTCCATTTACGTGTAAATGTACATGCTTAATTCGAAAATAACAACAAAAAATTGCTAAAATCTACCGTTTTGGAGTAATCAACAATAAATGTTCGGACTCATTCACGTCGCGGCTACAGCACGGCAGCCATTACTGGCGTTGTTTACCTTCATTTACCTCAGATCGGTCATTCGCGGAAGCTTCGCCTGTCTTGATTAATGCGCACGCAATGCGCAAACTTTGCGCGAAATTTAAAAAGAGTATGATTATATACAATATAAAAAAAAATGACAGAAAGGAAATAATAACAAGAAAAAATTTAAGGTTGAAAGCATGATTATTAAGTATCTTAAAATAACATTTCTTTAGTATTA